CCGCTGAACGATCTGCATTCTTATGTTGCGCTGTCATGGTGGGTAAGAAGGGCGGGCGGTAGTGTGAAGAGTTGAAGCTTTCGGCACCGCACCGAAGAAGAAAAATGAGGGGAACTGCAATACATGCCATTGATCTTTTGAAGGATAGCCGGCTGACCCGCCGAACGAAAGGGAACGGAAAAGCCGAAATGTTGGGACATTTTTTTTTAATTCATTGTACCTACTGAAATGTTACTTTTTTTTATGTTAACCATTTATTTCTTCTCATTCGGGAGGCGTTACGTAAACTATATTGCTCTAGTAGTGCCCCATGACTTGTTCCGGGTAATTACGTTCCGATGAAAGTATATCAATCGATCGAATCGATCGGATCATCGAACCACCTTGAGCGTAACCTCGATGACAAAAAATGTCACCTTTTTTGCTGTACAAATCGTTATAGATTTTCAACAACGTAATGGCAAATTTCATGTAAACGAAACTTTCTTCATGATTTTATGAACAAATAAAAAATGTACATTTCCATCCATTCATTTAACTGTCTCCGTGGCCGAACGGTTACCACGCCGGACTGCCACGCAGAGGTCCCAGGTTCGATTCCCGGGTCGGGAGAAATATTTGTATGGCCTACATTTATTTCTCTCGTGAGTTTGGGTGTAATTTGTGATTTTCTATGTGTGTGTCCATGGCACCCGCGACACAGGGTTTTCCCTAGTGCGGAGCTATGTTGAGTGTGTGCGTTATTATTATTATTATTATCCACAAACTTACCTTTCCACTACTGAACATAAGACTAAAAAATAAGAATTTATCATTACTGTAACGTAAGCCGATAAACGCATGAATTAAATTAGAATACAGTAATGCTGCAAACGAAAGAGCTGCAGGCACTTGTGCCAGTCGCCTAGTCGCTACCTACGACACTCACGTGAATATTACATTATTCGTAAAAACTGCACCTCACTGAGCAGTACAGACCCCCCATGTAAAACATTAGTATGTTTTGGATGAAATTCGACATCTGCGCCAGCTATTTGAAAGGCAAATTGCTGGTTTCAAAATCATGTTCGAAGTAAATACATTTTACTTCGTAAGTACGGGAATACTATACGGAGCCGTCAAACTCACCAAACACGACCACTCATTGAAAAAGCATAAAGCATTCACCTGCGAAAAACAAGTAAGAAAGTTTATCATTTGCAATGATTATTTAAAAATATCATAGATGGAAATTACCTCAAAATGGTAAACCGAGAAAGGGCGACAAAAAGTATTGAAAAAATAAAATAAAAAAGCGTTCTTTTTGTGACTGCTAGGGGCGCTGTACAATTTTTCGTGCCAATATTTTACGCGAAGGCGAGCTTATAAGCTTCTGTAAATTCATGTAAGCTCTTAGGATTCCTTGTACAGTTATAGTATTATAGTTAGGAAATAAGACCCAATGTCACATAGCCAGAACACACGACCTAACAAGATCCCGCACCACAGGAAGGATTGTTCAAACCAAATATTTCACAAAAAACTGCGGGCAGCCCCGTAAGTATAATAATAATTTTAAAAATTTCCAAAGAGCAATTGATATTTCGTCAATGCAATGAAAAGCATCAATCAATATTATTATTAAAAACATATGGCGATCGACTTCAGAGCGGCACTTGGTTACTTTGGCCCGCTTTCAAGCCTACCAACGTTCCTTTTATTTGTTTAAAATACTATTTAAGGAAAAAATTCCAAGCGGTAATTCCGATACAAGAAAGTCATCCAAACACAGCAATCACAACAAATAATCAAAGACAACAATGACATAAATGAGAATCGACTACAGAATTGTAAATCATGTCACGTAAATGCTCTTTCCGATTTTCGATCGGATACCGTATAAGCCTTACCTACGCATGGTCAGTTCGGGACCTTGGGCACGGCTGTCAAAGCTATTTTGTTGGAATAATATATAGGACCACTAAAAATCATGTAACATACATACGCAAAATGTAATACCGTGTGCTATTCATTATTTTGAACAACTTCTTTTACGTCGACGAATAATCACAAAAAAATACACACACAATATATGTATTTGCAGGGAGCTGTTTAGCTCATGCCTTGTTTAGCGTGTTTATTCGACGAAATAGTGGTAGGACCATTGACTTGTAAGTCAATGGGTAGGACAATGGGCCAAATTTATGCTTTTATAATATTATTGTTGAGCACAATTCTAGTGTGCTTAAAGACAATTCTCTTCAAAATTCAATTATTTCGAATGCATTTATATAAATTATTTTCATAAAAAACTGATTTTTTTTGGTGAAATTCCCAATAAGCAATACGCCAGTGGCAGCGACAGCAACAAACAAATAGAAAAAGTTGACTTTCTTAGAACTCTAATAAGAGGAGATCCGTACTCAGCTGTAGCATAGAGGTTATTTAAGCACAAACTGTTATTGAAAAGCAAAAGTCATTTAAAAATCGTTTGTCCACAGACATGTGTATCTATATATATATCTGTGTTTGTGCCATTTTGACGTAAAAAAAGTCAGATAGAAAGAATTATACAGAAAGGTAAATCCCAACTTTGACACCAAAAGCTAATTGCCCAGTTGGAGAAGTCACTTGGAGTTATCAAGCACTTTGTTACATAATTTTTTTTACCTTAAGGAAAAGTTATGTGTTAAATACACGTCAGTAACTTATTTTTTATTTTGACTGAATAATATCCCTAAAGTTTAAAGTACAAGCAACAAGTAAGTTTATTGTTTCTTTGTTTAATTTACATAATGTTAAATTTATTAAATTTATTAATGTAATGTCCGCGTAATACGTTCTTACAGCATCAAACAGAGCCTCTCGCAAAGAGGCAGGAGGCGGTGGGCGGCGGGCGGCGGGGTGCGTACGGTGGCAGTAGCTACGATTTCAAGGACAACATTTATACAATCCGCTACTGCGCACAGGTCTTTCTGCACGTGTAACAAATTTTTTAAAAACCATACTCTCTTTAATTGTGACGTAATGTTTATATTCATTTATACTACAATGGATAGTGATAGCCGTATTGCACAACCGATTTTTTGAAATCATTCAGAGACCAGCAGACAATAAATTCTTTTTATTGTTTATTATTTGCCATTGATACGGTTTTCGCCATAATCAAGTGGCTTTTGTTACAGGTGGCATAGGGACGGTGGGTTCTATATTTTCACAAACTTATTGTAAAGTAAATATATAACTATCTAATTTAAGTGCCATATCCCATACTAAGTGTACGTTTATCACTTTTTATTATGTAGAGGCTGATATTTAGATCCTGCACTGAAAAATAATGATCACGTTTGCGGAATTTGGTAGAGAGGATTTCTCATTTGAGTTATAATACAAATTGAGCCGGTATCTTGCACATGACGCCCAGATTAATAATTTTACTTCTATTGCTTTTGTTAACATGTTGATAACAAATTACCTAATAAACCGAAACTCTAATTAAATTTGAATGTATAGAGAATAATATGTTTTAAATACATTTCAAACAAATCATGACTTTGAATACACATTCAATTGAAAAGAAAAATCTAAATGTAGTTAGGAAAGAACCAAACTCTTTGTAGTAATATTATGTGGCAGATTATCATTGAGCTAGTATGGTGGATTAAGTACAGGACTAATGTAGCACTAATAGGACATACTGTCTGTCTCCTCACTAACAGCTACATCTGACTTTTTCTACTAATCATCACAGGTCTACTCTTTTTGTAAATGAATATAAAAGAGATTGACATGAGCTAATATGTTGCCATGAAAAGCCGGTCTAGCGCTACGTCAGCTAGCTACTCAGCCGGGTGTATGCTTACCTCCTATGGTACAATATAACAGTACGGTATTGAATATGAAGTTGGGCGGAATTCTATCCAGAAATGAACTTAGTACCTCTTGAACAGTCATCACAATACTATCGCATCGATTAATAAAACTAAGAAACGTTTGAATATTAAATTCTCTTTGGGATTTATTTGAAAATTGTCAAGTCTTCCACGAATTAAATGAACATATGTTAGGACTTCCAAGTTTCTATAAACCTTGTTTATAGAATTAATCCATGCTTAGGATGAGGACGAGATGCATATGGGTTGATGTAGTACAGCAATCTTAAAATTATAATATTGTTATTAACTTTTTCCCACTATTGTACAACATCTTAATTATCTCTGGTCTTGAGTCGGATGTTTGACTTGAATATCAAATAAAAAATTATGTACTTCGGTATAATCATAAAGAAAAACGTACCTGATGAATTATTATATAAAACACGTAAAGTAATTATGGAATAAGATTCTTATAAGATATTTATCATAATGTTACAAAATTCTGAAAGAAATTCCTATTTAAAGGTTCTTTGAACTGTGCATGTAACGATCATGTAGTAGATTAATAACACAAACAGAGGAAGATTTCTTGAACCAATAACAACTTCTCAAGTAATTGAGTGGGGACGTTCATTTAATGAGACAATTGAAAATAATTGCTACAAAAACATTATTTTAGAGGTCATGAACATACTTTTGTACTTTCCGCAATTTTAAATCAAACAATTTTTTCAATAGGAATAAAGAAAAATAAAGCCATGATCCTTAATTTCAAACAGACACTTTCGGATTAATTAAAAAAAATATTTTGAACTATAAACCGACTAAATTAAATATCGAGCTAGTAAAGTCAGTAACAAGTAAACAATCGTCGTCCAAAACTGGTTGTGTTATGTTTTTTTTTATCAAACACGTTCTTCGCCCCCTCGTCATTATAAGAAACAAGTTATAGTAAAACGTTTGCTAAATCAAACCTGACCGGAGACCAGTGGAAAAAACCACCAGTTTACACTTAAATAATCGCAAACAAAAGCACCACTATATTATAAACTGAACACTGGCTTTAGCAACAAAGTGTAAGAATAAAAAATACACAAATAAAACAAAAAACACTAAAATACTCGTCGAAAATCCCAAGGTACGCACCTTGCTTTTTGTAATAACATGTGTGGCTAGTTTTACGACGGCGAAATTTCCGGTTCCAATCGTCTTTTCCAACTCATAGTTGCCGACACAAACTAGCTGGTCTATAGGAAAATGTTTCGATTTGTGAATTGGTTTAATATTGCTGGCCATTTTCGTGATAATTGCGTGAAAACTGGCTCGGCGAAAACGCGAGTCCGAGATCTACTGTCTGTCGTTTAGTACCGCTGCCATGACACTCGCGGCGCCACTGTCTCGCACGTCATACACTTCAATGTTTCATTAACAAAACACAATAAATTAATATCGAAACAACCGAATTAACCCATTTAAATTAACGTTCACACTTAACACCAATATATTTTTATTTTAAACAACAATCTTTACCAATGAACAACAATATACAATAATTGTTATCACTTAAATTTTGTTATCAGTGCGTTTAGAGCTTTGAACGACATGTACTCATAAAAAAAACTCTATTCACAACCTTACGTCTTATCTCGTGTCTCTTTTCAGTTAATTCGCTAGTGCTATGTTGGAAAGAGACAGGTAAATTTGAATCCGTATGACGTCAGGCGATTCCCACCTACGTCATCCGCGCCAATTTCAAACAAGATGTGTACGTCAGAAAGGATATCGATTTTTGTTACTGCATGGCATTCTAAGTGCACCTCGGGTTAGTTAGGTTGTAGGATACCTAGAAAACTAACTTTGTGTTTTCTATTAACGAAATAGCTAACAATACACGCTTCAAATTGTATCTCATGGTATTTGAAACTATTTGAAAACACAAATGTTTTATTAATTAGGAACGTAATTTTGATTAATTAAACAATTTGGTGTGTTTTACTTTAACTCCAATGTCACGTCTTAAATACATAACTATTTTCAAGAGTAATTCTACCAAACGTAGAAAAGTAGATATTTATAAAAACGAATGTGTGCGAAAGAAATTCCCTTTGTTCGGAACTAAACAATAGATGAGTACGTCCTGTGAAAACAAATCTGAGAGAATAAAATCTGGTACCAAGATCGCACGAAACGTCGGCGTCAATAGTATTACAAATTCATTCAACGTCAAATCAGAAGTGTGTGGTAATATATGTACATACTTAGATAAAATGAGGTTTCTATCTTTTCCCATACTCATCTCGATTGACTAGCTTTCATTGAAAATGTACATGTGGTGCCATCTTTTCGTTATTTTAAGAACTTTGAAGCCAGACTGTTGAGAAGTCTGTAGTATAGTGTTCTGCGGTCTGTGCTGACTAAATCTCGTTGGTAAACTTGTTGACCAAAGAGTTGCTAATAATGTCAATAGGTAGCGCTAAAAAATCACAAACCCAACGCTTCTGATGGGGCTGACATCCAAACTACAATAAGAGGTATTTTAAATGCGAAAGTAACTTTCTGTCTGTTACGTTTCACGCCTAACCAATTTTGGTTGGCCTGCTGAACCAATTTTGATGAGTTTTGGAATAGAAATGGGACACAGGAGAAGGAAATAGGGTATTTTTCGTCACCATCTATAAAGGGGTAAAATAGGGGATGAAAGCTTGTATGGAAAACCTTATTGGTTTCCATACAAGCTTACTATGCAAAAATAAGTAAAGCATACTATGTAAAAATAAGTAAAGTATTTCTTGAGACTACTCGAAGTACTTACTTTGCGAAGACGAAGTCGCGGGCACCAGCTAGTGTTCAATAATTAATGAGTGATCAAAGTCCCTAATAAATATCGTGTTAAAAAGACCGAAACTCTCATTAGAGCAGCAATAAGTGTTAATTCGCCAAAGAACATTGTAGTATACGAGACATGTACCTACCTAGGGCATCGAAACCCGGACCAATTTTGATAACCCGGGTTTTCGGGTCATAGTGGGTATACCTAGTCAAAACCCGAGTAGACCGGGTTTTTTCGAGCTTTTCGATCTTTTTGTTATATTAAAAAAATAAGAAACTGTGTTCCTATACTGATTTTCTACAATGGAACTATGAATACAACAAAGGATGAGGAGAGGAAGGATTATCATACATGAAACAGACTTTCAAATTACAAGACATTTTATAAAGTCTTAAAGAAATCTTTTATTCCATTTTACACATTGCTTGTTTTCTTGATTACGCTTCTTTACACGTAATGATTTACCTAAGCGTGTTTTTATTACATTTATTATCGTATTCGAAACGGTTTATACATAATAAATGACAAAAAAAAAATTAAGTAAAATATTCAAAAAGCCTGGGTTTTTAAAATCAAACCCGGGTTTCTTTGTAACCATCAGAACTGGAAAAACCCGCGCTCGATGCCCTACCTGTACCCCACCTACGATGGGGTAGGGCTCGGCCAGCGGCGCGTGGTCGGGTTTAGATTGCAGGGTGTGCTTTTGCTCTTCGGTGGCACAGCGGTTAGTATTATGGGTGCTTGATGAGGAGGTTCCGGGTTCGATTCCCGATTTGGGCCAGTTTAGGAAACGGACATTTCTAAGTTGGTTCTAGACTGGGTATTCTGCCCAAGAAGCACACAAGCTTCTTATATTACCGCTGTACAGCCTAAAAGTTGTATATTAGCTGTTTAAGTGATGTACTGTAATAAGGGGTATAGCTCTAATGCATTGCGAGAGGTACTTCTATAAATTTAAACTGTAATAATCTTTAAAATATACTTTATTTCACTTTTTTACATAATTTTAGTATTGCGTTACAAATCAAACTCTGTCTGTCAAGATCTTCTATTTTCTTAACATTCTAAATACAAAACTATAATCATTACCTATGTTCAGCCAGCAATTCTACTCATAGAGTACAGCCTAGTCTACAGTACTATAATACTTAAGTTCTTCAGTAGCGTATTTAAAAGTAGGTAATTAAACAAGCGCAAGTCGTACAATAGCCGTACAACGGTAAATGTAACCCCAAGAGAGATAAAAAGGCTAGTCTTAGAGCTATTGTATGGGCAATTGATGTAAACCAGAGTTATAAATAGCTTTATAACACCGTGAGATCTTGTAGAGGCCTTTTGAAGTTAGAACTGTTTGAATGGAGTTATTAGCTTCGTTAAAAACGCTGTAGGTGGTATATGTATAGTATGTTCCTAACGTCTAGAACTGTTAAATAGATTTTACTACAGCCTTTGGAACGCTATATCTACAGCAGATAAATATATTTCTAAAGTAGCGCTTAGGCCGTATATTTGAGAATTCTACAGTAACTTTACTTCTAAAAACTTATAATAGCACGTCAATACCACAATTGTAACAGCGGTTAAATCGGTAGAACGGTGTTAATAAACTCTGAAGGCTGTTGTAGGTTGTAACAGAGACGCTATTACAGGTTTTAATAAAAACCAATTTTTTGGTTCTTTATATATCTTTTAATATCTTAAATATGTATAAAAATCAAATCCACTTCACTCTTTCTCACCCATGGCCTTAAAGAAACTTCCAATAAAGCTAAAATATCTTATTTAAACTAAATTCAAACTTCACTCCATGCTGTATTCCTGCGGGAGAACCCCGACAGGGAGTTCATTCCACAACCTAATTGTACGTGGGAGAAAGCTCATCTGAAACCGTACACTACGAGATCGACTCGGTTTCAGAGTGTAAGGATGGACTGGAGCCCGTGCCGGTGGCGAGCGGTGCGATGATAAAATGTTGCTGTTGGCATCATGTCAAACAGTCCTTCAGAACATTGGCCATTGTACAAGCGATAGAACAGGCATAGGGAGGCAAAGTCTCTACTCCAAGACAGTGGTTCAATATCGTCTGTAAGCACAGGATCGTCAACAATTCTGATAGTACGTCTTTGAACCGCGTCAAAGGGCCCAAGCTGCAAGCAAGCACACCAAGCTTCTTGGACGCCAGCTTGATTTTGCCATAAGTGACTACGGAACTGAACGTCACAAGAGATGTCACCAAAGATCCGGATGCTCTCCGAGAGATAGACTTAGCATGGCCAGTGTAATAGGTATCCACCGTGCTGTCATCCGCGTAACAGTGAATGCCGTTAGTAGACAGCATATCATTGATGTGGAGCTAAAACAGCGTTGGGGACAGCACAGAACCTTGCGACACCAGCGTTAATGTCCAAACCGTCAGAGCAACTACCGTCGACGACGGCTCTTATACTTCTGCTGGCCAGAAAGCTGTCAACACATTTGCATCGGTGAGTGAGATACACTAAAACGTCACCAGTAGAGCGACAATTGCGGAAGCCATATTGGCGGTCGCTGATTAGGTCATTAACTTTTAGGTATCTAAGGACCTGGGCGTTAATTATACGCTCCATCACCTTGGAGAGAAGGGAGGTTATGGCTATAAGCCTATAATTTGACGGGTCTGATCTGGCACCTTTTTTGGGGACTGGATGGACGAGTCTTCCACGAACTCGGGACTTTTGATAGCGAGTAGGATAGAGGCGCGTTAATACGGGACACAGCTCCGGAGCACATACTTTAAGCACCACACCACCGGTATACCGTCTGGGCCACTTGCCTTATGAATATTATTATAAATTATTATAAATATTTCTCTTTGGCATAGTGTCCAAGCTTTCTTGGAATTTAACAGAGACACGATCGAGTATCTCATTCCACTACATTGGTAAGTGTGCCTTACATTTTGAACAATTTTGAAATCTTGTAGTCGTAATAGAGTCTCGCATACTATCTGCGTACGGTGGCGTGCGGACGCTTCTGGCTTCGCCCGAAAATGATTGTAGCCATGTCATTTTCAGTCGAATTAGAGCAAATTTTTATCTGCCGCCAAAAAAGTTTGTATGACAGCCATATTGAAAAATGGCAAAACAGAAATTTTGACCACAAATTATTATTAAACACCCATAGAGACCCCAACATACCGATTTTCAGTCGAATTAGAGCAATTTTTTTCTGCCGAAAACGAACGCTCATGTGGCAGCCGTGTTTGAAAATGGCGAAAAACTAATGTTGACCACAAATTGTTAACAAGCACTCCTAGACCCCTCCTTGGGGGTACCCAAATGCCGATTTTCTTTCGAAAATGTCGAATTAGAACAAATTTTTATCTGCTGCAAAAAAACGCTTGTATGGCGGCCATATTGAAAAAAGGCGAAAAACCAATTATGACCACAAATTATTATCAAGCACTCTTAGAGACCCCCACATGCCAAATTTCAAAGGGATCAGAGCAAATGTTTTTTCTGCCGCCAACGAACGCTTCTATGGCGAGTATATTTGAAAATAGCAAACAACAGACTTT